GGGGGAAATTAATTTGTCAGGCTGTATTTTTACAGAACTTTGTGGCTTATTGCTGATGCTTGAGAGGTTGGGAAATGCACGTTTTCTGTTTCTTGTGAGTTATAATTGCAATATGGTTGAATTTGGAGGCAGCATGTTGCTGACCTAATGTTTGTTAGTGATAAAATAGAAAATGGACTATTTAATCTCCAAGAAGGACATACATGCAAACTCTTTCTAGTTGCTGGAGTTAGCATTTAAACATGCAATGAGACTGGAGCAGGCTTTCCTAGCACTTGGAAATCAAATCTTTAAGCATCTTGATTTGTGTTTGGACAAATCTGATAATTGGTCTTTTTCCTGTTAAAGCAGAGTTGTCTCTGTTTTGAGATTTGGACCTCTGAAGCAATGAGTTAAACATTGCTGCAGTAGCTCTGAAGGCAAACAGAGCTGCTGTTATTTGCTCCATAATAGCACTTGCTCAGCTTTGGACACTAGAATTTCTTACAAGATGGGGAATATTGGCTAAGATCCTGGAGTGTGTGTGGGTTTTTTTGGTGTGGGCTGTTTCTTGTTTTGGGGTATTTTTTGTTGTTTGCTGAAGTTCTTAAGAGCTCTTGATTTATCAAAGGACAGAACCCTTCAAATAAGCTGTATCTTCAAAGTGTCACTGTTGATTTAGCCCTGAGCCTGTGAATTCAGAAGTAACTAGTATCAGTTTCTCTATAGCTGCTTAATAGAAGCTTCCTCTACCAATGGCTGTTTATCCCTACAAGTCATCTGGTAGTTTCAGTCATCCCTGTTCTGAGGTGAGAATCCTTTACAGAACTTCTATTAATTCATTCAACTGTCAGATTTCCTTTTTCATGGCAGTTAGTACTTGCTAGCTCAAAAAAGTAGGTACGATATAGGGATTCAGATATTCCAGTGTGCATGAGACAATTTTGTGATTGCTTAGAGTTACCTATCTGCATGTTCAAAGAGAGAGCTGTTAGCAAGACATTGGATAACTAGTGGAAATAGATATTGCTGGTTAATAGCTACGACTCGGCTATTGCAAGCATGCAATGAGTTGCACTCCAAAACTAGATAAAGCAATTGCTGACACTTAAACATCAACCTTAAAAAGCTAAATTTGATTTTGCTATGTTGTCTTCCAAGGTATGTCTTTAGTTTCTGGACCTATTCAGCCTGTTAAGTGTTAGATGTAGTTCCTAGTGGAAATTTAGTTTGACCTATGACCTATTTTTATTTATTTATTTATTTATTTACCCTGCTAGAAACATAGCCTGTTGATTTCAGACTTTGTTCACGCCTGGATTCCATACGTGGTTTTTATCCTTGATTCACACTTGGTGCAGTTAGGCAGTCCACTCACCATCCAACTGTTTGTTGATATAACTTTGGCAACAGTGTATACTTCTGAAAGGGTCTCCAGTTCTGTTTTCTAGCTAGAACCTTCTAGAAGAATGGAAGCGGAAGATAAAATTAGTGTGGAAAATTGCTATGAATAAGGTCTACCAGAGGCTAGTTGTTGGAGAACAGGGCAAAGGGAAATAGTGTTGAGTTTCTCAAAGGAAACATTTCTGTCAATCATGTAGGTGTTGCTACCTCTTGGATGTGAACGTATGTATGTTTATGTGTTTAACTGAACCCATTTAATCATTGTACTTAACCACAGCTTTTGATCTGGATGTTTTGTAGGTCTGGTGTTCCTTAAGAGTTTCAGGAGAATAATAGAATGATTTTTGATCAGGTATCAACCTCATACTCAAAGGAGTATGGTCAGAAATAGCTGAGGCAGGAAAGTTTCTGATCTATTCTGGCTGTTTTCTTTACGTATTTTGACCCTAAATACTGTCAAATTTTTCAGCTGAAAAGCTGAACCATAGCAACACAGATACTTCCACTGACAGTATAACTTCTTTCATTATTTTAGCTTCTAGAAACAGATGTTGGCCTGTAGTATATGTACTGGGTGTTGCAGCAAGGTTCCTGTGTGTTCGTAGCCAAAGGCTGTCTGCATGCATGGGTTTGCAAACTGAGGATACAGTATTATGTCAGAAGTAGTGTTAAGCTTTCCTTTGAAGAAGGGCAAGTGAACTCATAATCTTAAGGGGTAACAAATATGAATTATGGCTAAGCAGGTAAATTAGTGACAAGATTATGTAAGAACTGTAACAAAACTGAATCCTGGTGACAAGACTGGTGCAGTTATGATTGCATGAGTTCTCCCTCTTGTGAAGGAACAGTCATCTTACCCGCATGTGGGAGCTAGCATGCATGTTTTTAGGAGGAAGTGCAAAGATTTGGAAAATGAAAGTTACAGGGAGGATGTACTTGAATAGCAGAGAGCATTAATTGTGACTTCAGGAACCACAGTGAAGACAAGAGGGCTGTATCTTACATTGAACAGGAAAAAAATGACTCATAAGCATGCTGTGTCTTGCTCTCTATGCTTTATTGTGGGAGGCGTGCTTTGAAATTTGCATTAAAGTCTTAAGTGTGTGGCAAAAGTGGTTTAATGTAAACAGCTTTGTCCCCTTCATCCACCTCTTTAAATCTTATCAACCTTCAAAGAAACCGTTTTGGATGATGTACTGTGGCCAATGGAGGTAGTGGTACTTGTTCTTTTCTAAACTTGGAACTGTATCCCATTATCAGTTTTTAGATGCTTCACTAATAAATTTGAGAACTAACCTTGTAAAAGAAGGCAGTCAAAGTATTTGGTGTGTGGACCAAGAAATGTAAGACTTCGTACCCCAAATCCTGAAACGGGGGCTTGTGCAGGTGTAAGAGACTGTCAGTGAAAATGCCACCACCACAGCAGGATGTCTGGCTCAACTTTGCTATGGCAGGAAGACCAACATTGCCAATATCACTGCCACAGCAGGATGTCTGTGTCCACATCGCTATAGCAGGAAAACCACCTTGCCGATACCACCCTCCAGCAGATGTTTGTGAAGCATTATCTGTCTCCACGTTGCTCACCAATTGACACCTTGGTGCAGGATGTTTGCCTTAACATTGCTACCCCATGGAACCACGGGGGGAGAAGACCCCCTAGTGACAGTATTGGGCATGTGCGCTATCACCGGGTGGAGGATGTGGTTACAACTCTATAAGAGAGCGGCACCAACCAGCATAGGGAGGAACATCTCCCCCGCTGGACTTGGAACTAATTGGATTGTCAGGACTCCACAGCTCCAGGGTGGTAGCTATTGCTATGAACTCTTTTATTCTTTCCTCTTACTTTCCTTCTTTTCTCTCTCTCTCTTTGGAATTTGTTGGTGGGCAAATAAAGCTCCTTGGCGCTTGACTCCGTTTTGAGTCTTAATTCTGTTCCTGAGAATATGAGCAAAACCGTGCTCTGGCCTTTGACTGGTGTGCGACAGCAGGTGATAACTTGTTTCTGGCAAATAATCATTTAGAGCTTGTTCAGAGGCTTCACTGTGATACAAGCACATGAAAAGCACAGCACAGTTACTTTAATATGTCTGGTACCTGAGATGCAGACAAATGTTCCAAAGACTTCTACTTAGTTTTCAGGCAAAAAGTGCAAATTAAGCCTATGGTTCTTTACTCCTACCATAGATCTCGTGTATCCCCTGGTAAGTTCCTGCTTGCAGTAGGCTGCCATTTCAAAACAACTAAGCATATTTAGAAGTTGCATATCTTTTTCTTCTTGGGTAGTACATGAAGAAAAGCTCTCTTCCTGTTTAGATACTCAGTTTTGTAATTCTTACTTGTTTAAGAAGTGCTCCATCTGTTTTAAGGGGACTAATTTTGGGGGGGTTTCTTAGTATCATGGTTTTATGGAATACATCCCTTTTCATAGTGCTTTCGATAATGGTTTGCTTGGGGATCTGCTACAGGAGGCTATATTGAAAGTGAGACTTTCAATACATCAGTCTTAAGTCTAATTAGACAGATTGGTAAAGCATGGTGGAAGTGTATTCATAGACTACAGTCTACTATGGTGAAAGTAAGCTGCTTGTGGGTTATAGCAAAAAAAGTTGGTGTATTTTACTTAATAGAATGGCTTGAAGTTTCTGAGGCACAGGTTGAATTCTAAAGGTCAAGGTCCAAAGTCTGCATTAGCGTGAGAAATAGCAGCATATTTGTGCTTAGAAAGTCTGTTTTCAGTATGTAGAATTGGACATAATATCCAAGTAGTTGATTAAGGTAGGAAAAAGAAATAAAAATTCTCGTAGTTAACTTAAGCAAAACCTACACCACTCCTGATCTTTGTGCTGGATTTGAGTTACAATTATTTTATTAGGAGGTGTATTTGTGCCTAACTCAAATAGTTTGTGTGAGAATTCTAGTTGCTTGGCGGGGGAACCTTACAGTCTTAATTGGTAAATAGTTTGGAAACCTGTATCATACGTGGAACTGCATGGGTTTTTTGTAATCAATATAGAACAAGCAGATCTCATAGAAAGCAACTAACTGTACCTCCTCTGTGATCTAATTTAATTTGTAAGAAGGCTCAGCCTAACACTGACAGGGAACTTTGCTGACACAGGCAAAATAGCATGGCCAGCAATTGGCAGATGCCTCACTCCCTGTCTTCTGTCAATGTATTTGAAGTATCTACTTGTGATTACGTTTTATTGATATGACCTTTGGTTTATGTAGAACAGCCACTTAGAGTGGTAAAGGACTATACACGTAGAGGTAAAAATAGACTGAAGTTGTGATATTTTCCTAGACTGAGTGGGTGTCTGATTTCCTAAAACCCTGTTAACAGGGGCAGCTTGCAAGAAGATTTGGGATGACTGTAGTCCCTGTGGGACTTTTTTGGATTGTGAGAAAGACCTTAAAGTACTAGTTGTAGGTTAAAGAGAAAAGAAAGGCTGTTAAGCATTTCTTTCAGGTATGAGATTGAATGTTTGCATCTGTGTCACTTATGTATATGTTTTACAAATCTGAACTCCTGGAAGTTCTTTAATGTTTTGTTGGGGTCTTTGTTTTTGTTTTTTTTTAATATATATATATTTAAACTTTTATTAAGGTCATAATGGTTTCCATCCCCAAATACTATGAAGGAAAGAACATCCTCCTGACAGGAGCTACAGGGTTCATGGGAAAAGTGCTTCTGGAAAAGCTACTCAGATCCTGTCCTAACGTGAAAGCAGTGTATGTCTTGATAAGGCCCAAAGCAGGGCAGACAGCTGAAGCGCGAGTAGAAGAAATTACCAGCTGTAAGGTATGGTCATTCTCAAAGTACATTTTTGTCCTTTTTCATGTTCCTATATCATTTTGAGAACAACTTCAGTTTGTCTAAAGTAAAATACTGGTTTTGAATGTTTGTTTTTGTTACTGTTCTAACAGAAATATGCAATCCAAGACCTGGCAGTGCTTCTACAGCTGTTTTTCAAGCTGTTAGCCTCTAGCAAAGCCAGTAGTGGAAAATTATCCTGTATTTAATTTGGATGGAGGATGTTTGGCTGTAATGCAGAACTGAGAAGTAAAACACCTGAGTTAAAACTTGCTAAGAGAATATATTACCAAGTTCAAGAGGCAGTGTGGACTGGAAGTTGTAAGGAAGAATCACAGAATAGTTTGGGCTGGCAGCACAACTTCAACACTGATTATGTTCATGGGAGTCATTAATATGTCGTAGTATTCTTAACAAACTTTTCTAATTTACTGATGATCTTGAGAAATAAGGAGGTATAACTCTGTGCTTCCAAACTGAAATGTGTGTCTCTTCACTGGCTATTAGTTTGAATTATTTACTTGTTTTGTTTGACAGCTCTTTGACAGGTTGAGAGATGAGCAACCAGACTTCAGAGCAAAAATAATTGTAGTTGAGAGTGATCTTACACAGCCTGAACTGGACCTTAGTGAACCAATCAAGGAAGAACTTATAGAATGCATTAATATTATATTTCATTGTGCTGCTACAGTCAGATTCAATGAAACACTAAGGTGAGTCTAAAATTCTGTAGCTGCTACTCTGGTAAACAAATTATACTCAAAGGGAGGGGGTAAGTCAGGTATCTGCATAATGTTGCAAATATTCAGCCTGTTGGGCTACTTCATGTGCTCTGGTATTTGTGTGTTTGATCAGTTCCATGATGCCCCTTAAGGTAATAATCTTTTTCTCAAAACTTACCTTAAGCTGTTGGGTTCTCATTTTTATTTCTTAGGAAATAAAGATGGAGGCTATATTATTAGACCTGCTTTGCCAGAGGTTAGAATTACACTATTCAACCTGAAATAAGTTCATATCTCTTTAAAGCTGTAGGCAAAAAGACAAATCCATTATTAGGACTTGGAAACTAAATAAAATACCCGTGTAGTTTTTCTACAGCCCCTTCAGGTTCTGTGTGCATGGGTTGGTGGGTTGGTTTTGTGGTGTGTTTGTGGCTTTTTTGTTTTTGGTGCTGCTTTTTTTTGTTTTTCTTCCACTTCCTAAATCCCTTTGCCTGAATTTCAAAGTCTTTTTGAAGGGAAGCTGTTGAAGGGACTAAGGAACATGTTGCTATTCTGAGTCTTCGTAACATCATGTGTTGCTCTGATCTCTAGGATGGGTAGAAAGGATGCAAATAAGCTGTAGCTATATGTGCTGTGCTCACTGGTAATATTAGAGCTTTTTTCCTAATGTGTGAAAGGGAACACAAAGTATTCCTTTAGACTCCCTTGTTAAAAAGGGAATGCGCATTTCAGAGGATAACTCTTGGGAAAACTGTATGTTGAAGTTATTGCACTTGCTCTCTACCTGGTAAGCAAACAGGAGATTAAAGACAGCTCAGCTTTCTCCATGTCTTCAGAAAATCCTTCATTAAGAGTAGTAGAGGTTTACATGGTGGGGAGTAGGGAGAAAAATTAGAAAGTTGAAAGCTTTCATGTTGTACAGAAAATCTATTAAGGAAATCCAGGAGAAAGGAGTACTAGAAGCAAGAAAAGATAGTATTTGCTTTTTGGCAAAAAACCCTTGATTTAGTGTCAAAACACTGAAATAAATATCTACCTTGAATAAATGACTTCTGTGAGGAATAGCTCCATTTTTGGGGGCGAGGAGAGCAACTTTGAGATAAAACACTTGTCAACTCGGATTTATTTTGAGTTGTTACGAAGGCTGGCATTACCCCTCTCAAAATACCATGCTGTATGCTGAAACTTCTTAAAGTCTTAAGGTAGACTGTGTTTGTTTATCACTGGTTTATGATCTTGAAATGTTTAGGAACTGCCAAGCTGACAAAAGCCCAGATGGACTTTAAAACAATTTGAAAGACTGGTGGAATGGGGTCTTGATACAAAAAGCCTTTGGCAGTTTCTGCTTTCTTGATGGGCCCAGTATGTTGAGCAAAACAGAAAATGTGAGCATTTCCTAGGTGCTCTGGGCTCATCTGTTTCCTAACAGATGCACTGGAACGGTTGGAGGAACCTTACAACTCTGAAGACTGCCTAGAGCAACCTTCATCAGATACATAATGGGAACAAAATACTTGGCTTGGGGACAGTGGTAGGAATAAAGTCAAGAAAGCAAAATACTGGGCTTATTTTGGAAATTCTCCTAATTTGTATGTGCTGAATCCTTCGTTGTTCTAAAGTAGTGCATACTTCTCTAATTATGCATGCCTTTGACTTCTTGAAAGAGGCAGTGAAGACTGAAAACAGTACTTTTATCTGAAAAACTCCAAACAGATGAAAGGGGGTTTAAAAAAAAGCAACCAAGAACCTCAAAACACCCTGTCCGCCCCATTTTATTTAGGAGTGATATTTTCCATTTATACTAACTGCTTTGGCATAGTGGTCCTCTCCTGTACCCCCAGTGCTTCAGTAATTGTGTAATAAAGCAGTCTTAAACTTAATGTTTATTTGGGGGGATCAAGAGTGGGTTTGTGTGTTGGTGGTTTTTGTTTGGTTGGTTTTTTTTTCCTAATGTATCACTTCATTGTAGAGACTTTAATAAAGCTTTATTTAGCTGTAATTCTCAAACTTAGTTGATCAGTACAGTGTATACAAGAAAACTAGTGCCCATAGTAAGTTTTATAGGCTGGAAAGGATATCTGAATTGTATAAAATAATCATAGCAGTTAATCATTAAGCTGTGTTCTGATGGGAGTTCTAAGGAAATGCCTATTCTTCTACAGTGTCCTCAAGGAACTCTAATAAGAAGCTGTGAAGTTGGAGGGTGAAAGTGTGGTTCTTGGTGGTCGGTCTCCTTCCTGTTTTCTTGAACTAGGAAGTTGAGGTGCATCTCATGGCAGCTAGGTGTTGTGTTGCATTATTCTCATATAGGATTGGGATTTAGCTTGATGAGATTGAAGGTATGCTGACTGTCCCATTCTGGTACTGGAGTGTGAAGAAAACCAGGGTAGGAATTAGGAAAATAATGCTGAATATTGAGAGATGCTCTAGGTAAGGCTGCGTGGCATGTTCTAAGTAGAAATTTAGGATGCTGTCCATACTGCTTTTTTTGGGGAGTGTGTATTTAGGAATACTTCATTTACCTATCACTGCGGCATTTAGGAGTGAATTGAGTAGTTGAGCTTTTGTGGCTTGTTTTTTGTCTTGCTCTCTGCTAATTGAATTTCTGTTTAATCAACAGAGATGCCGTTAAGTTAAATGTGACTGCCACACAAGAACTTCTGTTCTTGGCACAGCGAATGAAGACTCTGGAGGTGTTCATACATGTTTCAACTGCCTATGCGTATTGCAATCGAAAACAGATTGAGGAAGTAGTTTATCCACCTCCTGTTGATCCCAGGAAACTGATGGATTCTCTTGAGTATGTGTTAAGCTTTATGAAGCTATTTCAGTAATCTGTAACCAGTTCTTTACTAGGAAAGAGCCTGAAAGATGAAATCGGCTTACACTGACCTGTAAGTCTGACAGCATGGCTGACACTTCCCTTTTCTGTGAAGAGGATGGTTTGAGGTTTTACGATCCATTCCTTGTAAAAGAAGTGTGAAATTAAAAGTAACTAATAAAAAAGTAAAGTATCTTTTAGCTTGCTATTATAGATGGAAGAGCACCAGCATTAAAAACAAATGAGCTACAACCTAGAATGCACGTTGACTAACATTTTTTTATGTAATGTTGACTTCAAATACACTTTCAAATGAGATTTTTTTTTTTTTCTCTTCATAAGCAGGGTAAACATAACTTAAACTGCTTGGTTTGGGATTGGACAGCTGTCTCTATTTTAGAACTCGTGGCAATGAGGGAAGGCTTACACGAGAGTGATCTCTTTAGCCAACAGCTGACTGAGACACATAGAAACAGATTTGTTTTGTCCCTTTCTGGGCTTTTCTACCCCTCTTCCCATCCAATTCATATCATGAAGGGAGTCTGCATGTCAGCTTTGATCGTAACAGAGCACTGGTGAATAACAAAGTTAGCTAAATTCCATTTATGTAGTTAAGATGTTGTGTGACTGAAGCAAATAGAACCCAAGCCTGTTTTGAAGAGGAGAACACCAAAGCAGCCATAGTTCAAGAGGCACATGTCTGTAGTGCTTGTGTGCTTCGACTGAAGGTTATTGCAGTTTTAAGTACAAAATGCTGAATGAATTGGGAAGCAAGCTGAAATTGCAAAACTTAATTAAATTAAGGGGAGTAACAAGGTGACCAGCTTGTTTCAGAGGTGGTGTGTGATAGCTTAACACCACAAAGGTGGAGGTGATGCTTGTAATGCAGCCAAGAGTGACTACTTTGCAGTGGGTCACTTTCTAAATCATGTAATGCTAGCTGAGGAGCAGTGTGCCTGTGTTCCAAAGACTCACTGGCTGTGTCCGCACTTCTTTTTTAAGAACTTAGTTGATAGAATTAGGATTATTGTAAAGGAGTGTACAACTTGCTCTGTATTAGTGTGTAATAAATTAATCACCTGGGCAAAGAGGCAAATAGTAGTATACCACTCTTACGGGACACCAAACATGCAATCCTCCTCTTTTTTTACTGAGAAACTTATTTTCACTTCAGTCTGTATTCCTTTTTCTTTAAACAAGAAAAGAAATGCATGGTAACATTAACAATTACATGTCCCTGCTTCCCTCCCCATGAAGCAGCATGCACTAATTTACCCTTACTTCTTATTTTATTTCTTCAGGTGGATGGATGATGGCCTGGTGAATGCTATTACTCCTAAACTGATAGGCGACAGACCCAATACTTACATATATACAAAAGCCTTAGCTGAATATGTAGTGCAACAAGAAGGTGCAAAATTAAACACAGCCATTATAAGGCCATCTATTGTTGGTGCTAGCTGGAAGGAGCCTTTTCCTGTAAGTCATTTTCATCTGACCATCCTGCTTGTAAACGGTAGTACATACTGACTCTCTGTTTATCCAGTGAGCATTGTAAATGAAAATATTTTAGACTGAAGTTGTGGCTGTTTGCTTCTGGATAACACCTGTACAAAAGCTGTCAAATACAGTGTTCTTGTGTGGGAAACTTTAGGGGTAAGTTACTTCTAATCATAGAACGCCTGTCACAGTGAGATTTATGATGCTACATGTGAACTGTCAGCTTTTTCATTCGTGATTCTGTGTATCTTCATCTATTTTTCTCTTCAAGATGCTTTGGTATGTCAATACCTGCAAAGGGTGATTAAGAAAACTGGAGACTGCAGGACGTAAAGATGCTTTGGCTCCACTTTCAGTCAAACCTTGTAGGCTTAAGTTATATGGCATAAGTTCTATGTAATGTATGCTGTACTGATATGTAGCATATATACTTCCTTCTATATGGGAGATCAGTGTTGGAGTAGCTTCTTCAGTTCAAGACTGAATGTCTCTTAAATAATTGCCTTTCATACCTTTTTGAGTAGTACAGTAAGTATATAATGTCTAAACACTGTCATTGAAGAAGAAGGTCTTCTGTTTGAAAAATGAAAAAACTAATAAAAGATAGCAAACCTGCTTATCTGTCTTCTAGGAGTTGCTAGAAGCTAGTCTAAAAAACCTTGTAAGCTTGAATACTGTCAACATAAACATACTTACACAGACAAGGCCCTACAGTTTGCTCACTAGGAAATAAACAAGCTAGCATCTCACTTCAAAGAACCTGTAAATTTACAGCTAGATTTTATTTCTTAATTTTTGAGTCGTAACAACTTGTTATATGGCCATATATTGCCATGGAAGAACTTCATTTAGAGACATGTAACTTGGTATCTTTCTCCTCTTTGTTCTCTTTTCCTTCCACCCCATATGGTTGCAGAAACTTTAGGGTTTTCACTTGAAACTGCCGACTTCAATATGCTCTAACCAAAACCTTTCCCTCCCTGCTTTTCATTAATAGGGATGGATTGATAGCTTCAATGGACCTAGTGGTGTCATCATTGCTGTAAGTACTGAATATTCTTAAATTTTTTTTCTTCCTTTTGGAAGGCAACAAAGCTTCATATGTTTTAACGGTGGATCTTCTGTCTCTTTTGGTTTTATGTTGTTTTGTTCTTTAAGGCAGGAAAAGGAATTCTTCGAACAATGAGAGCTTCCAACAATGCACTGGCAGATCTCGTTCCAGTAGATGTTGCTGTTAATACGACACTGGCTGCAGCCTGGTATTCTGGAGTTAATAGGTATAACTGGTGACAACGGAGAGTACAAAGTATTTTGAAATTAAATTGTGCGTGTGTTAGTAGATCAGTCTTTGAACTTCTAATCAGTGTTCTGCTGTTTTCCCAGGACAAGGGAATTTAAGGTTCTAACACCATTAGTCCCTCAAAGTGTAACTTCCTCATGCCAAAGAGGAAGACATCACTTATTGATACTGTTGTACAAGCTATGCCTACAGATTCCTTCCTGGGTCTTGTAATCAGTACAATTGACAGTAGAGTAGGTGATGCCTTCTCCAAAAGAAAAGAAATACAGGAGTTAAATACAGGAGAAAAATCATAGAATAGTTAAGGTTGGAAAGG